CGACGCCTGAGACTGCGATGGGCGAGGCAGTGCTGTTTACTGTTGAAAGTCGGTTTAACTTGTTTCGAAATGACGGCAGAGGACGAGTTTATCGACGCAGAGGGGAACGTTTGGCTCCGGCGTGTATTCGAGAGGTCCATCCATTCGGTGGGGGAGGTGTCATGGTGTGGGGCGGTATTTGTGGAGATCAGAAGACTGATTTGGTGATTATTCAGGGAAACCTGAACGCTGTGCAGTACAGAGACAAAGTGTTGCAGCCAGTTGTGCTTCCGTTCCTACAAAACCAACAGCAGGGGACATTGTTTCAACACGGCAATGCCAGGCCCCATACTACAAGACTGACTCGGAACTTTCTAAACCAGCAGAACGTTGACGTTTTGCCCTGGCCTGCCCACTCACCCGATATGAATGCTATTGAACATCTGTGGGACCATCTTGACAGACAGATTAGAGCACGCCATCAGCCTCCCGTCAACAGACAAGAATTGCAGCAGGCCCTGAGCGACGAGTGGCAACGGATTCCAGTCAACGTCATCAGGAGACTGACGTCATCGATGAAGCGGCGTATCACAGCATGGATTGAGGCAGCTGTAGGTCATACACGCTATTGAAGGCAACTGTGTCGACAATTAACTTGTAGTGTGTCTGACAATTTTTGGTGACATTTCAGACAACTTTTGAAAGTAAAATTTCTTACCCCACCATTGTTTACCTTGAGCTTACATTACCTGTGATTGCACAATTTCATTCAAACTGAGGTTGATCAATCATTTGTTACCCCTCCCTAGATTATATTATAATTCACAACAAAACCTCTTCTTGTTATTTTTTTATCGATCATGGAACTCGACCTATACTTTCCTTTGCCGCCCAGTTTATATGGGGCCATGGGCCATGGGGATGAGTAATCGAAGGAAAGATGTAACCAAACCTTTAAAAGAAACGTTATCTTTGTCTCACATGTGTATAATGTGTACATGTGATATGTGTACATACGCAAAAAAATACATAAATAATTATGAAAATATGTTTTAAAACATTCTTTACTGTAAATTACTACACTAAACATGTGTATGTTATTCGGCAACAATCATAACAGGGTGCCACGTCCTGTCCTGTCCTTGGCTTCGCCTAGGAGGCGAAGGACAAGGCACCAGCCTATCTCTATACAACCACACATAGTTTTGCTGCGTTGAAACGTTGACTGATTTCCGTTAAGCGGTTATGTCGGTCTTAAGGGACGGAGACAAGCCTACTGCTGGCACAAGTTATTGTAAATGGTTTGGGCGTTTGCGATGTGAAATGTGTTTTGAAAGAAGAACCGAACCGTTAGGCATTGGATATATTGACAAGTGGTCTTTTATATATGGTGTGGTTAATCTGCCAAATCAGTCATTTGGTAAAATGACTAACACTGTATTTGAAATGTTATTAATTCACAAATTTATTTCGGCATCATTAGACATGGAATCATGTAAACTTAGCAACAGTTGGCTACGGTGGCACCTACTGTAACACAATTGCATCATTTAGTCGAACATTTATTTGCACCACTGCAGTTGCAACGCAGATATCATTGACCACCCGTGAAAGACTTCAGGCAAAGACACATGTTTTGTCTGGTCAAGAGACAAAAACCGTTTCTGGACAACAGGTGGAACGGATTTCGTGATCACTTGATACCCCTTTGTATTACTGTAACCTCTCTGTACTTTTCGAATACCCCTTCCTTTTTAGAAGAATGTTGCCTCCCACACCCAAAGGTGAATATACAAGATGTATACATCCCATCCGTGCTGTGGGAAAATAGAGTAAGTCTATGCAATGTCGTCCACAGTATTGCAACAATGGGTGTGAGAGAATATGTTTAGGAACTACCTGTAGGGTAGTAGGGGAAGAGATTTAGACGATGCTTTCCATAGTATTGTATATGGCTAAAATAATGCCGATGCGACGTTACATTTTAACTCACTCACTTTCCAAAGTACTGCAACAATAGGTTAGGGAGAATATGTTTAGACAATGCATTTCGTACTATTGTAACAATGTGTATAGGAAAATAGGATGAGACCATGTGTTCCATAGTATTTCAACAATGGGCATGGAAAAAGGATGAGACAACGTACTCCATTGTTTTGCAACAATGGGTATGGAAAATGGGATGAGACAATGTGTTTCATAGTATTGGAACAATGTTTAGAGTGAGTGAGTGAGTCAGTGAGTGAGTGAGTGAGTGAGTGAGTGAGTGAGTGAGTTGGGTTTTAACAGTTTTCCATTTATATCACGGCGTGTCAGCTTAATGTGGGAGGAATGCCTGACGTGATGCAACAATGTGTATGGCAAAACAGGATGAGACAACGTGTTCCATAGTATTGCAAGCAACAATGTGTATAGAAAAATAGGATGAGACAACGTGTTCCATAGTATTGCAACAATGTGTATAGAAAAAAAGGATGAGACAACGTGTTCCATAGTATTGCAACAATGTGTAAAGGAAAATAGGATGAGACAATGTGTTCCACAGTATTGCAACAACGTGTGGAGGAAAATGGGATAAGATATTGTGTTCAATAGTATAGCAACAATTTGTATAGGAAAATAGGAAGAGACAATATGATCCATAGTATTGCAACAAAGTGTAGAGGAAAATAAGATGAGACAATGTGTTCCATAGAATTGCAACAATGTGTAGAGGAAAATGGGATGAGACAATGTGTTCCATAGTATTGCAACTATGTGTATAGGAAAATAGGAAGAGACAACGTGTTCCATATTATTGCAACAATGTGTATAGGAAAATATGATTAGACAATGTGTTCCGTAGTATTGCAACAGGTGTGGAGGAAAAAAAGATCAGGCAAAGCGTTCCAAATATTACAACAAGTGTAATTAGGGGATAAAAAAATGGGAGACCTTGATCAACTGGAAATACAGTGAGCACCACTGAAATCAAAGTGACACAATATATTTTGAAAAAGAGTAACTTGTATCCATATATTAGATATAATAGTCCTTTTCCCACACCATACCATTGCCAGTTCTACTGTCAACACTCTTGCTCTTGCACATCCTGCACGAAAAGCAATGAAAATATTGGTCGTGAACATTGCAGGTCCAAATTCCAAAACGGGCGTTACAAAGCATTATCATGACAGGTCGGAGATGTCTATAGCGTTGAGATGGCAGATTATGTGAATGGACAATGCAGGGATGTCTTGTAGGGAAATTGGATGTCAACGTTGACGTCACCTTACGGTAATTTCACGATAAGCGCAGGAATACTGAACAACTTATGAAGTTAAGGACATGCCAACCCAGGTCAGCCTCGCAAGACACCCAGGAGCGAAGATGCGGCATTATTAAGATTCGTTAAGCGATGTCCATTTGACAACAGTATAGTTTTAAAGGCACAGTGGCTACCAGACAGAGCTATTTCAAGCAGAACCTTAATAACCGCCTGAAATCAGGTTGATACAGAGCCAGAAGACGTTCAAACGTTTCCTTGTTAACCCAACACCACAAAGCGGCTCGTTTTTTCATCCATCATCCTTCAAAACATCATCGTGTGATTTTGCCAACCAAGGTGGTACCAATATCTTGTCTGGGTCATAGACTTATGGTCTAATCAACGCTTTAACTGGAACATTGCATCATGGCGGAGAGTCCATATTGCTGATGACAGTCGGTTAATGTTACACAGTCATGGTAGACGACCATACACGCGTCTTGAGGTGGGAAATGCAGCCGTGGCTGCACAAAACCTTCTAGAAAGCCATGCATTTGGTGGGGGATTGGTAATGGTATTGGGATATGTTTCATTCAATTTTGAAATTTGACTTGATCACTGTACATGATAATCTGAAAGGACCTCCCCCATATTCCTGGAGACGGCAGTTATCCCCCATTTTGACAATCATGGGTTGGCCACTAGACCTGTGTTCATGAATGATAATACTAGACCTCACAGATCACATGCCGTTCTGGAATGCTTACGTCAGAATGCAATCGAGACACTTCCTTGGCCAACAATAAGATCTTATTCCAATAGAACATCTATGGGGCATTTTACGCCGTCAAGTTCGACAGACAGAGCAACCTGTTCAAACTTTATGTGAAGTTGCTACTGCTTTGCTTGCGGAATGGTCTAGAATTCATCAACTTCAAGTACAACGTCGGATGCATGGAATGAGTCGTCTGTCGGCAGTCGTTCGTGTGCAGGGTGATAACACTAAGTACTGACGAGAACTGAGTTTTCTACTGACATTGGTTTAAGATTTAGTTGAAACAGACCGATTTGACGCAGTTCACTATATTGTGAGACAACAGTCATATCCACTTTGTTTTCGTTGAATATTACGTCTTTCTAAAAAATGCCAACATTTCAGAGTAATTATTAAAATTCAAACGCTTGTGTTCTTCATGATCGATGACTGGTATATTAACTCATTCGTGAAAATATGGGTGGTGCTTAATTAATTTCTTGGTGTATATTATGTTCACGGTGAAAGTAATATCACGGGCATTGCTTAAATTAAAAGAATCACTTATTTTGTGAATAGGTTATTGATAATAAAGCCGCTCTTGATGTCAAACCTGCAAACCGTCACAAACGTTATGTGTGCAAAGTTTCAATTTTTATAAATATGGATAACAAAGATTTGTAGCTATCAGTAATGGAGAGAATAATGTGATTTTTAAAGTGTTCATTCCAAAGGGTCCTATTTTTTACGGGATACGGGTGGCTCAGTGGTCTGTGAATCAGTTATTCGCTGTGAAGAGTGGGTTCCCTTGGCCGCAGCAGAAACGTGTGCTCGTGGGTTCGAATACAAGGGTCGACTTGGTTATGGTTCCTACCCGTGGTCATCGGTTTCACCAGAGTGACAAACATCTAAATGTTATACCTGCATCGCTTCTGGCTTTCACCCAACATCAAGCAGACACACTGTTACTAAATGGTGTCATGGCATCACACTTACTCACTCATATTTCTTATCCCGAAGGCTACGTATTGCTGCTGGTAGGAACTGCTCTTGCCCAAAACACAACTACAGAGAGTGCAACAATGGCCAACGTACCCACCACAACCTTAGGAGAGCTGACCACGACCGAAAAGACATATGGCAGCGAGTTGGAACGGTTCTTTGCTGATGATCACAACAAGGCTATGTACCTTGTCCTCCCCTGCATTGTGCTGGTGTATGGTAGGTTTCTAATAGTTACTAGTCGAGACCTGCATTGTGCTGGTGTATGGTAGGTATATCACAGTTACTAGTCGTGACATGTATTGTGTTGTTGTATGGTAGGTATCTAAAAGGTTACTAGTCGCGACCTGTATTGTGCTGGTGTATGGTAGGTGTCTAATAGTTACTAGTCGTGACCTGCATTGTGCTGGTGTATGGTAGGTAAATCACAGTTACTAGTCGTGACATGTATTGTGTTGTTTTATGGTAGGTATCTAAAAGGTTACTAGTCGTGACCTGTATTGTGCTGTTGTATGGTAGGTATCTTACAGTTACTAGTCGTGACGTGTATTGTGCTGTTGTATGGTAGGTATCTTACAGTTACAAGTCGTGACGTGTATTGTGCTGTTGTATGGTAGGTATTTAACAGTTACTAGTCGTGACCTGCATTGTGCTGGTGTAGGGTAGATATCAAATACTAGTCGTTACTAGTCGTGACCTGTATTGTGCTGGTGTATGGTACACAGCTTATAGCTACATGTATTGGTTAGTCTAGGTAACTTTAAGTTTCTGTAGTCTTGACCCTGATAACGCTACTGTATTGTAGGTAGCTAATCCTTTATAGTCTCCACTTGCGTTATGCTTATATATGGTAGGTTGCGAATAGTTTGCTTCAAGCATCACCTACGTCCAATCAAGGAGTAGTATATTGATTGGATTTAATGTCAGCGTCCAAAGAGTGTGACGTTTGGGTGCAATTCTATCGTAATAAGATATAAACTATCTCTAATCAAGTTGGCTCTGTGTTCCCAGGTGGTTGTGGTGTCATCTACTGCTGTAGCCGCATAAGACGCTATTTCCAGAGAGAGAAACGGCGTAAGCGACGGGAAATGTTGGCAGTTCAGAATGGAGGCTACGATGACCAAGATGTATCTCCCCCTCAGAATCAGCCCTTCACTAGTGCTGCTCCTCCAAACCCAGCTGCTCCAAAACCAACTGCTCCCTATTACAACCAAGGTTAGTTACGAATAAGTGAGTGAGTTGGGTTTAACTCCGCTTGTAACAGTATTCCAGTTATATCGCAGCGTGTCAGCTTAATGTGGGAGGAAAGCCCGAAGTGGTGCAGGTCTCAGACGTTTACCACTTCGTTGAAACCCACGAGCACGGGTATGGTGCTGACAAACCTAGAAACATAATCGGGGCGAACCGGGATTCGAACCTTCCTTCATAGGTTTCTGGCGTGCCTAAGGGACGCAACTCTGCACAGCGAATCGCTGCACATTAGACGCCTGGGCCACCCGTGACCCCTGGTTAGTTACGATATTATAACCAGATGGAGATTTCAGAGTTGGTCTAGCAGGTGAATTGCGTTTCATCGGACACCGGGGGCGTGGGATGTTGCTCATAATGCCAACCCCTATTTGACTGATGTGACTTTATTATTGCTCACTCTAGCGTGAAACAACATTTACTCACTCACTAGTAATAAGGATACATGCATTCAGTAGTGCTGCCTGGTTTAAGGAGAAACAATATTTCGTGTAAAATTTAATTAATAATGTAACATTTCTGCTGGTCATTTTTGTAACCATTTGTGGTGGAGAGGGCTAGTTGTCTATAGGCCTCTTAACTGGTTGTTTCTAAACTGCATGCGGAAACATATCTATAAATGTCATATGGACATCACCTCATTTTGCAGGACAGCAATGGAAGGCCGAAGACTGCTTGGCGCTGGAGGTATCGGAGATAGACAATCAGCTCAAGCAAGCATTCGCTATGATTGATGACGTCACCAAAGACATCAAGAACAAACGCACGTTTGAGAACCGATCGAAACCGGACATCGCTCGTCAAGCCGGCGAAAACGATGCAGAGATCAGAAAAAAAAGAAGGTACAAGTACAAGCATTTCACCAGTGCTAATTAGCAACGGCGAATAGCTGTTTCAATTTTCGGAATGAGTCTCTTTAAAAAGATGCTACAAAGTGGAACTGCTCATATGAATCTGTTATAAAGAAGCCTTTAAAATCTACATTTCTTATTCTATGTCACAGCTGTACTGGTATTAGTTTATATGTTATGTTGTTGTTGACGTTACAGCCATAGGAACAATTCAGTTGTGCATCCTCTAAAACAGTTGTGCAGAGGCTGCATTACGTGAGATTTATATTTCACATCCACTAGGTTAGCTTCAGCTTTACCTTGTTTGATCATTAAACTGCTGAAATACGAGGGTTGGTTGATAAGCTCTAAACCTCATATAAAAGGAATTGCGAAGTAGTTCCATCTTTTGTTGAAACTTGAGTTCACTGAGTCTAATATCGTAAGCAAGCATCTGGGACCATTAGAAAAAGGAAATCCGGAAGAACATGCCGGAGAGAGCCTTGAAGAAAAGCGCCGTCCTGGTGGGACCCCAGAAATTACAGGCGAATGACCGTGCATCATATTGATAGTTCAGTATATGTTTACCAGTAGAGACTACATCCCATTGTCACAGAAACTTTGGCAATGAAGAACGTATGAGCTCTGCGATTTGATTATAACGCACCATGCACAACATGTCTCATGACAATCTGAATGTTTGATTGTTCCTGGAACGATTTGTGACTGTGGATGAAACCTGGGTTCACCACTTCCAGCCTCATTGTCCAAACAGTGAAAGCTATTGATATCACCACTATCAAGAAGGCAAAAACTGTCCCATCAGCAGGCTAAGAAACTTGGGGGGGGGGGAGAAAAGGTATGCTCTTCCGTCAGGACAATGCTCCAGTTTTTAAATCAATCATCGTCGTGGCTGCAAATCCACGAATTTGGCTTTGAACTTCTTCTGCACCCTGATCTGACTTGAACTATGACGTCATAGCAGCTTCGGAGAACATAAACATAGTTGGCAAACGTGTATCAATGTGGAAGGGGATTATATTGGGCAGGTCAAGCCGTTCTATCAATCAACCCTCGTAGCAGATTTACTTCAAGTTTGAATTTTGTTATTGACATACACAATGGCTTTTGTTATATTTGAAACAAACCGTCCAATTCTAAAAAAAACTGTGTTGTTACAAGTACAAGTCACGTGTGTGTTACGTGTACATGTGTGTTCATGTCTAGTTTTATATCACAGTGAACACCAGTTATATATCTTTAGATTTGAGTCACTTTCACGTTTCACCATTCAATCATATTTGTAATTGTTGACAAGGAAGTTGGATCTGTCCTGTGCTGCAACAAAAACATCTAATCTGAACGTGTACTCTTCATCTTTAGACGTCTGATAAAGTCTCGTTCTGAGTTGTTCAAACACGGCATTCATTGACAATGTACTCATCAATGTGTCAATGTGAGAAATCACGACGGTAACTATTTTGATTATGAATTAATCCATTGTGGCTTACATTATATTAAATCGGTTCAACTCCTATACCAGTGACCCATTCTTAAAAATTCTGTTTTGTTCAGCCGTAATAGGCCAATCTAGATAGGTATTCGTAAGTGCCTTAAGCCTGATATGTCCTTAAAATGTGTAAATATTGACAAAATGCTCAACTCATGTATTTTATAGCAGAAATATTTTTTTGTCTCGCCTCTCGTTTTCACATACCCTTTCTATGCTCCAGCAGTTGACAATTGTTGAATATGTTTTGACAAGAAATGCCTTTCTTTTCTCCCAATGTAACATATATTTATACATGTTGTTGTTTTACATGGAGGCGGTATTTTTAAATAATTTACAAACAAATTCAAAGTGCATGTTGGTTGGTTGAATGTTCTATTTTATTTGTATTGGCTATTGTTTATTTGTTTGAGACAACAACACCTTAAGATATTGTTGACATGTCATTATATAACTTCCACACCTGTAGCTCCTTCATTGTAATTTTCATGTCGTGTAGTGTACATTCAGGCGAATCAAGCAACAGCCTCATCGTATCAAACTACCATGTTTGTTTGGGTACCTTTAGACAACACTTACTGTAGATAACAAATAACTTCATTCGGGCGGTAATACAACTTTCTTAAGTTGCTTTAGCATTTTCAGATATAAAATAGTAACATGATCCATTGTGTAGATTAATTCTTATATGTAGATATATTTGTTTACACCTCATGCCATTTAGAACAGTTTCTTAAAAGCAAATATTCATAGGTGAATTTTAATGTGAAGCAATTTACGAAAAGGTGAAATGATTACCACCGTATTTCAAATTATACTGCAAATTGTACAGTATCGACCGTTGATTAACCCCGACAGATTAATAAAATCCAGAATGTGTGTATTAAAGCAAAATGTGATATTTCCAATAAACTTGCTGCTGACGAATGTAATATTGCATAGATACGTCTGTATTATTCCAGGATATTGCACCGATTGTTGTTCTTTTTAAACGTTGCTGTTAAATACAACTGTATCCTGAAACCAATGGTCTGTTGTTGATGATGTACGTCTTGCTACACTTCACCAACCGAGTGGATGCAGGAGGACTCTCCATGGTATGAAGTATTACTGTTTTGTTCATATGTTCATACGACATAACTCTGTATGAAGATACACACATATTCTGTGTCTATTCAGCTGTTTGTGTCATAACTTTCGATTTTATTATGGATCACGCAGTATGTTAGATTGACAACAATTTAACCATCAGCTACATCGTGAAAGGATACAGTTCCTGTAACAAACTGTGATATTATGTACTTTGGATACAACTGACTTAAAGGGTCTCTGTTATTGTCGACAAGTGAGTGGAAGTGTGAATTTGCTTTCATTCAGTTTTGAACAGTCTATTTAAGTTATATGACGGCCGGAGAAAAGCCTGCAGGTGGAAGACGTTTACAAATCTGGTGAAACCAACACGATTGTATATGGTGCTGATAAACCTGCTTAATGAGCAATGTTTTATATTTTAAAAGGAAACACGCAAATATCTAAAGGAATGTGGAATAAAAAATACTAGTTTTCAGAAAAGTGACATGGCAGTGAATCTCATTTTTAAAAAGAAGTCACTTCAAACGAAAATTTGGTTTCATAAAAAGAAAACGCAATCTTTGTGACTTCGAATCGTGTCGTATTGCTTAGTTTGACTCCCTTTTGTGTATTTTAACACATCAAGACCAGTTTTGCAACACTTTTTAGATTTTCGTAATTTGTACTTTTTATTCGTCTATTAACCCAGACAGGCTGAGGCAGCACAATACATTGCTAGTAACTAAACAAACACAGTCTGATATGTAGTCTGGAAGTTAATTTAAGGTACCGACGTTTACTACAATATCTGAAACCATAAAGCAGTGATTTGTCTAAATGAATAATTACGTATGATATATTACTCCTAATAACATGATGCATGAAATATAATAATGTGGCAAGTAATGATACATTCAAGTCAATAACACTGACCTGAAAAAGAATGCAAAAATAATTGGATAAATATTATTAAATAACTGCTTGAGACGCCCAACGCTAACATCGTATTCGTGCATGCGTGATTCCCGTGAAACCTTTCGAGTTGAGTTGATTGGTTCAACTGTGTCATATGGCCCTGTGACGTAGGGGTAGCATTATGCAGATGGCTGTTACAATGAATGTTCGTTCCACCCGTGACGAACAGGTCTGGTTGTTGATGAAATATAGTGATAGCTAAAAAGACAGATTTTTTATTCATGCACCGATTGTCTTTAAATGTAATATCGAGTTATGTATGACTGTTTAATAATCTCATACCAACTTTGACTGGAGTAGCTCAAATAGTTTTTCAGATATTGTAGTAAACGTCGGTACCTTAAATTAACTTCCAGACTATAAAAAAGTGGACGTAACTCCCAAAATACAATTCACTAATGAGCGTAAACTTTACTGGTAATACTGAGAAAGAACAATACATTGCAAATAACTTAAAGAACACAATCATAAATTTTGGCTCAAATTTTAATGCGCTGAAGCCGGGCAAAGTGGGGGACACACTATTATCCATCTCCCACCCTAACTGCATCCGCTCTCCTTACAACACTGCTTTTATTATTTATAATTAACATTCCCAAAACTGCTATCACATAAGCTGCAAAGAGTCCCAAATCTTTCCAGTCTTTAGACATCCTATATTATAGTTGTCAGGGGTATTTCCGGGTTTTATTGGTAACACACGTTTGGCCGGGACCAAGGAAGAGCCTAGCTCCTGGAAGAACCTGCTTCACTCCCTAGTAATTTCTAAACCTTTCAAAACCATAACGCCGGTGTAACTTCATAACTGTGTTCAAATAGCTCACAAAAGATATGAAAACATCCTCACTTGTCCGAGGTACACTGTGTACACTTTCAAGGACTCTGGCCATGCTTTATCACAAAACTCTAGGGACAATTGCAGTTGTGTGGCATAGTCCTTCCTTGTCGGTTCTGATCATGCAGCTGACTTAAAACCTGAACACCACTTTCATAATCTTACTCAGTGAAGGCTTGCCACTTTTTCCCGAAGGAAAGCAAAAATATGTGAAACGAGGTTTTCAACTGCTAAACCTCCCTCACTCATGCACAGTTTAAGCATCAGCCAATATATACTTAACTGCAAAAGAAACGCAATTTCTATACAAATCATATAGCTCAGATACATACTGTTGGGCATCCGAGTATAAGCAAATGTTTTCCTGCATCATATGCTTGCCTGAAAACGCAGCTGGTGTTTCAGGTCCGACAGTTTTTCAGGTCCCCACGCAAATCAAGATTCACGTGCAGAATGAGGTAAGCTACCCTCGATTGTCAGTCATGAGATCGATAAAGAAGCAATAGCGAGATAAACTGCCAACGAGAGGAAGCCTGTTGGAAGATTGAACGTTGGTCTGAGTGCACAGGTGGCCGCAAATAATTTTAATGTGCAGGTAACAACAATATACCGTTTGCAGCAAACGAATCAACATTACCAACAACACTGATGGACCGTCCAAGTAGTGGTCGGCCCCGAGTACCAACGCCTCGATAAAATTGTAATGTGCATCATCGTCACATGCAGAACCGTTTCCTCTGCGCCTCTGAAACAGCTGACGATATGCACCAAACAGTGACCTATCAGTTCCGATACAAAATGACGTCATCTCGTCACCAGTAACAGCTTTTGCCGGCGACCGGGGGTAGAGCCGTGGGCTGCGTCCCTGTGTCGGCAGAGGAACGGAGTCTGTTGGTTGAGGGGATAAAAGCCGGACTGGCTATAAGTTTCCTGAGTCTTTCTTCCTCATTAGATCTGACTAATTTAACATCAACACGCTTCCTTAGATTCTCCATAGTTTTACCAAATACTGAGTTATTCATGAGCTTATATAGATTCTTTTCGAAATCGGTGGTAGCTATCTTTCTTAAATCTGTGTTCAGCCTTATATAGGGCTTTGATCAAACTTTAGAACTCTGTGTATTTTCTTTAGTTTCATACCTAACGATAGATATAACTGGAGATTTCTGTAGTGAACTATATATTTTGACTTATCCATCAAATTTGGTACGAGTTTTTCTACGCTAGCTAACCTTGTATTACCCATCAAGGAGTGTTGATATTCTGACATCCAATCTTTATTAAACATTAATCTTTCAGGAGCTAGCGGATAACTGTTATGGTCTTTATGTAACGAAATTGGATATTCCAAGTCAACTTCTAGTATGTACCCTTTATTCACATCATTCACATTGATATTATGGATATTATGGATATCATTCACATCGACCCACTCAAAACCACCCGTGGGTAAAGGTTGACTCATAGCCCATCCGTACAAATTGTTGGCGTCGAGATATAATATGTGCGTGTCGGGTTTACTTGGATCATATCCTTCCACTAATTTATTATTAGCCTTAGAATACCTTTTCGCCGCCATCGATATACCACCTCTTAATCCTTTCTCAACAAACAAGTGCATATCGTAATCTGTTTTTAAGTACAGATCGTAATCGCCTAAATTCTTACAACCTAATTTATCCCACACCGTCAGAACGTGTTCATAATTTGGCATCAGTTATTTTAGATTCTGTTAAGTTACTATAGAATGATTCAAGGGGCGGTAATTTAGTTTCGTTGAATCTAGACCAATCATCCATATATTCGTAAGGATATACACCTTTTCTCAGCAACAAATGACGGCACCGATCGGTATATTGATTTCTTATCGCAAAGTCATCGGGATTGTTCGCATTAGCTAAATTGTCCAGGGAAGATAACAGAAACTGTACAGAGTCTATGAATCTAAGTCCATTACTTTGCTTTATTTTGCCTTCCCATCCTTGTCCGTATAATGTATAGTTTTAGTCAACGAGAATGATATGTATTTTTCCATATTATTAGGAATACATGTTAAGCCACCGTCGGTCTTTGAGATAGCTTGCATGATGAGATGAAAATGGTAACCTCTAAGGTTGTGAAACACAACGGGGATGGGTATTGTTTGAGAATTCATTTTTAGTTTCAAGTTACACTCGTTATACGCGGCTCCCCGATAATTACCCGTGACATGGCAATGATCTCTTAAGGAATCCCCATTCAGGGGTTTATTACAAACATGACAACTCGTTGACTTCTTATAGGCCCTCCAATCATCCCTCGTCATACATATGGGTTTCTTATGCGATAAATTTTCCCTGATTATTCTCTCTTCATTTTGTAGATATTCTAGGAACTTTCCCGCTGCATCGGGACCTCTATAAATCACGGGCGGGTTTGTTTTCCCATCATACCTTACAACTATATATCCAAAACCACAAGGAATATGTTCTTGAGTTTTGTACGTAAAACTATCTTGATTATCTTGATTGCTTCGGTTGGTATTTTCTATAGGTTTGATAAGCGCTTCGAAGTCGGCGTAAATTACGTACGGTACTGGCATTTGATTACAATAATGTTCAAATTTTAATATATTTTTCCCCTCTTTAGGCATATCGATCCTGATAGCAGTCTGTCCAACACCTCTGCAGTCTTCTTTATGCGCTTCTAATAGATCTTGTCTGCTGTACCCATGCAGCCATCTTTCGCAGAAATATTTCTTTCCTGCATGTTTTGTTTGATCGCATAATAGTCTGCTTAAACTCTTTATCCATGTATAATGATATTTACCCTCTTTTTCGATCAGAAATGAATTGATTTTGGGAATATGTTCTGGAGCGGAGCTTATCCTGTGTCCTTTAGAAGAATGTCCGAAAACATTTATAGCTAAATTAATTTGCTTTTCCACCTTATCAATTTGTGAGATTGGTGTAGGTTCGTCTTTGCCATCGAGGTTTAGTCCATCGTTTTGAGGATAGCTAGAAGGTCTATCCGGATGCTTGTCTACGGGGAACAATGCAGATCTTATCATCATTCTTAAACAGTCATCGGATTTATTTTTTACATTAATTATGGCTTTTTTCTTTTTATAATACGGGGGTAAATCTATATAAGATCCACCTTT